GGGCCAACCCGGTCTTTTCAGAGTTCAAACAGTTTTCCGGAGACCAACCGTCCCCATCGAAAGATAGTCCACCGATTTCAAACAGTCGCCCAATTCGTGCCACGTCGATGGTGATTCTATTTCCTGCAAACCTGCTACTATAACAAGTTATTAACGGCCTATCGCTTTCAAGCATAGTGTCCGATCAGTAACTAACTCTGGCGAAGCTATCGCATGGAGATGTTAGTGTTATCGCGTAGAGGTACTGTATCGGGATATCAAGTGCTGTATGGATACATCTCAGATCTGGCTCCACTGTTTAGCGGGCTGTTGCTTTTAAACATGGTGCACCCGGTTGGACCGCTGTATCCCGTAACGGCGTGCCCCACGCCGCATCATCAGCGGCGTAGCGGAGGGAACGCCCTGATAGGCCGCGGGGTTGGCACCACGATCAAGATATGGTGGGCGGGGGGACTCACCAAATCACTGACACTCGAGTCCTCCAAGAACAAAGGAATTGCCCCGAAACGACACGGAGCACACGACAGCCGCTCGCTCGGCTTAGGTAACGGCTTCTTCCCGTCTGGCAAGCTCAACGGCGGCTGGATTATTTGCGTTGTCAGCCTGTAGCTGTAGGGGACTCCTCATCTTACGGCAGATTCCGTCACGCAAGATGTTTGCTCGCATTTGTCCACCAAGTTCCGTTTTCCCTCCCGGCTCTCAGTTCCCCCATGGGGGAAGCTTCGAAGCTGAGCTCTGTTGGCAGGTCGATAATATGAGGATCAACAAAGAATCTAATTAAGGTTCCTGGCACTTTTAAACCGCCATATGCACTGTTTTTAGCCATCCGCAAATCTGGAGGCGTCAGTTGGAACTATTGTTGTCGGGTCATTCGACTTTTGGTGAGAACTGACAGAAGATGCAGGCGCATCCGGAGAGGTCAGAGGTGCATGTGCAAGCTCCATTGTTGGAGCTGTTGGAGCCCATATTCCCTCAGGTTTTACCAAACCCAGTGAATAATACATGTACTGCCTGGACAGTATGCACAGTCTGTCTCCTCCCTTGCCTATTGCCCACAGCCTAGAACTTGAACCCACCCTCCTCCGACTGGTTCGCACAACCTCTCTTTGCGCCGCAAAGGGCGCCCTCAAACATCTCACCTCCCCCGAGCTTTGAATGGATTCATTATCTACCTTTAATCTCACCTTCACCTCTAATACATAAGACCGAACAAGCAAGTTGTTTACCTAGGTGGGCTTATCTGCAGCACTTCAACCCCCGCCTCTGCCTCTGGGCCACTTAATCAACCTCTCTTCATCTCTATCGCTTCCCGCGCCTCCCCGGGAGCTTTTCGGCGGAGGAGCTGGCATTAACTCCGTTAATATCCTTGGTTCCCGAGAGCATATCAGCACCACCTCAGCTACTTTCCTAGATTGGGTCGCATTTTGCCCTCGCCAGTTCCCGACTTGGCTACCAGACCACTGCAGACCACTACGTTAACCGACCCCAGGTTCCCTATCGATCGTTTATCTTTTGATCCCTTGGATATGGTACCGTGATCAACCCCGCCGACATCCGCCATTACGAGCATGCGACAAGCTCACTTGAATGTGGTCAATCTGGTCAACTCCCCGGCGCGCTCTCCATGGGTAGCGAAAACGCAGGCCTAGATCTGGACTATTGGCCTGCTCATTTCGCCGTTCAGCATCTCACAGGCTTTTGGTTTGGGGAGCACCATGGCCTTCCCATCACTCTCCCCCGCAGACACCATGGGCATGGTGACACATCCGCCCGAGCTCAGCGAAGCTGACTATGTGCGCGAGGTCTTGGGATCTCGAGATGGATCGGGCGAGGCGGACATGCACGAAGCCTTAGTCGCAAAGGCTGCCAGCCTCCAGATCGAGCTTCCACTACCGGGGCGGCCACCGACCGCCAATGCGCCCAACGCATCCGATAGCGAGTTCGCCGATACCGTTGTCTCTCAACATGGTCGCACCGCATCCACGAGCTCCCGCGAGACGACGGGGTCCGGACTGACGTCGCAGACATCATATCGATCGACGGTGATACCTGCGACCTTGACCGAATCCACCAACGTCACATCGCGGAGAAGATCGAAAGGCCTTAGCTTCTCCCAGTACGAAAAGTATCTCAGCCAGGTCGACCCGACTGCCAATCTGCCCAAATTCCTCAACCAGCCCACGACAAAGCCGGAATGGCCGATACCAGCAGCATTGATAGCAACGGGAAGAAAGACGAGCGTGCGCGAGATCAAGAGAACCATTGCTGGAAAGCTCAGACGAAAACGGCAGATATCGTCCTTGACCCTCGTGTAAGTGATGATGTGGGGCCTTGGCCTTCAGGGGTCGGAGATATCCATAACCTTGTTCTAAAGTTAACTTTATATCTCTAGTTCATGTGTATGTTGCCGCGAGGACTTTACCCAAGATCATTCCGATCTACGTACTCTGTTATGCGGCCACACGTACTGTCAACACTGCCTGGTGGTGATGCTCGAGCAGTCGACCACAGATGAATCCAAGATGCCGCCGAGATGTTGCACCCAGCCGATACCCGGTGCTATCATCAAGACGGTTCTCAACCGCGATGACCAGCAAAAGTTTCTAAAGGCTGTCCTGCAGTACAGTACACCCTGGGAGACACGGATATTCTGTCCCAACAGATCGTGCGGCGAGTTTATTCCTCCGAGGAGCAAGATCGATCCCAAACACCCGTTCGAGGCAGTATGCAAGAATTGCAGGACGCGAGTCTGCATTACGTGCAAGAGGAACTCGCATCGTCTTGGCCAGGACTGTCCGGATGACTGGGAATTGGATGCGGTTCTGAAGATAGGAGAGAAGTCGGGATGGAGACGGTGTTATAAGTGCCGTACTCTGGTCGAGCTAACCCAAGGGTGCACCCACATGACCTGCAGATGCAAAGCCCAGTTTTGCTACATCTGCGGAGCCGTCTGGGATCCTGCAGTTGGATGCCCGAATTTCTGCAATGGCGAAGAAGAGCTTGAACGACGGCGGATGGCGGAGGAGGCTCGGCAAGCGGAGATGGAGGCCGAGAAACAAGCTCTGGAGGAGGCTGCCGCTGCCGAACGACTCGCACAGCAGGAAGCCTATAAACGCAGCATGGACAACGGCGAGTTCAAAGCATTTGTGGCAGAACGCGAGGCAGAAATAGCAAAGTTTCAAGAATTCGAGCAGAGGGCGAAAATCGCCATGAGGGCGCGGCAATCGAGACAAAGAATGGCGCTGCGGGAGAAGTATCTAGACCAGATGGACAAGATGAAGGAGCGGCATGGCAAGACGGAACAGCATCTCGACGATCGCCAAATACAGGCCGAGATTGATCTGATTCTCGGCCTGGAGCAGTCCAAGAAGAGCATCAACATCCAGCTGAAGTACATGGAGGCGTATTGCAAAGGGGACACGACGGCCATGACTTCGACTACTGCTTCTGGCGGCAAGACACCGCCCAGGGAGGTTACGCAGAAACACCTGGACCAGCTGAGCGAGCAATATCGTATCCGGGATGGGATGGAGCGGAGGCACCAGTCTCAGGTCAATGTTCTAAGAGAGAAGCAGGCCAAGAGGATGGAGGAGCTTGTTGAGAGGCACAAGAAAGAGCTCGAGACGCTGGCTGATAGGAATCTGGAGGAGATTGAGGATCTTGAGGTGGCGTTTACGAATGAAGAGGAGGATCTGGTCAAGGTGTTTGCGAGGCGGAAGGCCATGTTGCAGCGTCGGGCTGAGATCGCGAGCGAGATTCTTAGGGTCGAGCTGGAACGGAAGCATGGGATGAGGTTTACTGCTTTGACTGTTGACTGGCCGACTACGGAAGATGAGGAGGAGGCGAGGAATAGAGCCGAGGCTTTGGGACGATTGGATGGATCGGGGGGTCATGATGATGATGATGGGTTGGTGACTGTTTTGGAGGAGTGAAACATACGTTGGATCTCGACCTTGCTCGGCTTTTCGCGGGCCTACTTCCATCTCATGGGAGAGAATGTCTCCCATGGGCTTTCTGCTCCAGTCCAAGCAGACGACAGACATGCTTTCTGTTCGAGATTTTGCTCGTTCTTTTGTCATCCGCATCGCTCTATATATCCTCTTCTTGCTTATTCATTTTCTTATTTCCTTTCTGCACCATCTCGCGAATGCATCGATGATACTAATGGCGTTAGGCTTTTTTGTTTGCTTGGTTCATTGGCTCATCTGATACCATTTTCCTATGATATAATCTTCATCCCCGCTCCCTCCTTTCACCTTGCTTTCCTTTCTAACTCATATTTATATTGTCATATACCGTTGCCTTGGCTTAAGAGGTGCACAGAACAGGACAGAACTATGGTCCAGAAGAGGAGTCTTGGCGTTTCTATATATTTTTTTTGCTCAACGAGCCTGCTGAGCTAGCATGGTGGTGATCTGGGTGCTAGCATGTCACTCCTTACCGATTTACTTCATCGTTGTCATTTTCATCCTTGTCTATTGGTTCTGATCCTTCATCCCATCATTTACTTGCTGTCTGGGTTTATATCGGGAATGCTGAGCAGTGTGGGACGGAATTGTACTGGATATTTGGGGGGATACTATGGAACCTGGCAACTTTAGGAAGGTAGGTAAATGATGGATGTATTGATGGACCTTCATGTTGGATATATCACATCATATCGTTACGGGAAATACCTAGTGCAGCAGGAATACAAATTTCCCTTGCTTACGAGGCTTATAGCAAGCCTTCATTTATACATCATATTTCATATGCCCTTCCCTTATATTGCAGAGTCGTGAAGAACTATCCATCTCTAACCAAGCCGATGAGCATACCTATCTATCAGCTGGCAAGTGAAGCCATCGCCATCGTACGAATAAGCTCAGCCACCAACGAACGCATCAACGCCTTTCTCCTCACCGCACAAAACCTTCTTCCTGCTCCTATGAAGCAAATCAGGGTATATATACATCTTCCACTCTACCCATCCTACCGAAAAAGCCACAAAAATGTAAAAAGCCCCCGTAGCTCAGTGGTCAGAGCACGCAGCGTTGATTTTCCTTTGCTTTAGCGTTTGATTTTCAGCGAAATACCCATCAGCGTATGCGGGCCAGCGGTTCGAATCCGCTCAGGGGCAAGGCTTTCCTTTTTGTTACTTTGCGTGTACTTACTTAATCCTTTTTGACCTTTTGACCGGTCTGATGATGATGGAATGAATCTGCTATTGAAGGTAGAAAACAGGATTTACAGCAGCATCACATATACCTGGCTGGATAGTATCATGGTATCAGCACCATCTAAGCACAACTATGAGCAAAGCAGACGGTATATATTATCAGCTAGTCCAGTTATACCAATACTATGTATCTAGCATAGAACATTGATAGAAAGAATAAGAAAAGGTAAGCGGAGATGAAGACCAAACCGGTTTGATGTTAAATCGACGTGTTCAGAATTTGATATCAACCTACGGACACATCATGGGGCTACCCATGGGGTTCAACAAGTGACATACGTATGCGTAACCCAACAAGATGAGACAAAGCATGGACTCATTGTAATTGTAAATCTATCTGCTCGCCTGCTTTGTTGATTGCCTTCAAGTGCCTTCAAGTAAATAGATGCCCATAAAAGATAAAGATCCCAGTTTCCCTAACCATGAAAAACAATAACAGGAAAAAGAAAAATGTAAAAGACAAAAAAGACCTAAAATATTCACAACCAGCCTGATTAACTATATCTCAAATGTAATGTCATACCATGCTCTGTGGTCTCTGCCTCTGCCTCTCCCTTAGAAATTTGACCAGGTCAGCCCAATCCCCGGGCCTCCTCCTCCGCAGAACATCTGTTATGTAGGGCCAAGTTTCCTTATACCCCGGTAGAATTTCCACCAGAGCTACTTTCCCATACTTCGTCGGAATGATCGGAAGCAAGCTCAGATATACGAAAATAAATTGCCCAAGCACCCAAGGGATAACAGGAATCCCACGGCTCATGGCATGAGCGATTCCAACCAAAAACCAAAACAACTCAAACAGGCCGTGATACTCCCAGAAGCGGCGGCGTATTGATGGCTCCTAGAAAATCGAATTCACAATATTGCTTCCGATCGTGGCACCAGCACCAAAAATAGCGGCGTTACCCAGCTTCTTGCCGATCTTCTTGCCAGTCCCCTCGACCTTGCTCTCTCCTTGTTCCCCTCCTCCGTTATTGTTGTTGTGTCCATAACTTGTGTTGGCCATTGTTTGCGGTGGGACATGCGAGTTGTATGGGTTCTGGTTGTATCCTTGACCAGCCTTTTCATTCCACCCGGCTTGTTCCTGTTCGACATATGCCTTGGGAAAGATACCCTCCTGACCGGTCCGCAGGTTCTTTCCCATCCACCAGTCGGCGTTCATGTACTCGTACACGGCGAGCCTGTCGTCCCGCTCAAAACTACAGTCGCGGGAGTCGGTCGCTGCGTAGGGGTAGAGGGCTTTTGCGTGGGCGATGATGGGTTTGGACGGGGGCGGTGGTGGGGGCGGTGCGGCTTGTTTGCGTCCCGGAAGAGGAGGGGGGCCGCCGTTGGTGGACTGGCTATATGAAGGGGGAGGAGGGGCATTATCTGTAGCGTGATGCTCGTCGAGGTGGAGGTTGTTGAGCTTGTTGGCTATGCCTGCTGAGACGGGAGGTGCTCTTGTCGCACCGGGGGTGGGTGGGATTGCACGGCGAGAGGAACCGGAGATGCTTGACTCGGTGGGGAGGAGGTTGTTGATGCTGTCAAAAGCATCTTCTGTGATCATGCCCTTCTCCAGGAGAGCCTCGAGTTCCTGTAGTGAATGCAGGTGTTGGTCAAATGCACGGCGGGTAAATGATATTAGGGTCCGGGACTCACATTCTTAATGTTGCGGAGAGACCGATTGGCCTCGATAATCCGCTGACGATCCTCGGACACCATGGTGGAATTGTTAGACGTGAGAAATGGTACAGCGGCGACGGGAGTAAGCATCTGCTGTGTCTGCGATTTAAGTCGTGATCGATTTGGATATTTTGACCAACGAAGCAAAAGTTGTAAGAGGCGAAGGTGTACGAAGAGGGGCCCGTGGTATTTATTGGGATGGGAAGGCCGGTGATGAAGGAGGCGCAGCCAACCGACAAACAACAGGCCTGGGTGTAACAGTGTCACCGGGTATCACGCTGTAAATTCGCTGTAAATTGGGGGTCCCAGGGGACCTGCCGTCTAATCTTCTCGGGGCGGTGCAGGCCAGTAGGAACCGACCAGGAGGATCCACGAGTGGGCTACGGCGATCCGGACTTCAAAAGTCCAGAAAAGCTTGTGCTTGACAGTGCATCTGGACAAGATCCACATCCACAGAATCGAATCCGCTGTCAGGGCCGTCGCCTTGTCATGTCACGGACTGCCTACTGAAACGGTGCATTTACCGGGATGAAGCTGCATCAATCGCTGCCTAGGACGATAAAGATTGGAAAGATAAGCAGATTAAGACGTGCTCTGCGCAGACTTGGTACTTTTGTTGTTCCATAAATGTAATCCAATATCGATTTGCGCGTACTGTACAGTTTATATATACAATGTAGTGTATTGACGGATTACCGTTTTGAAGACAACACAGCCTTGAAATCCGAGACAACCAGCCTGGCCCGCGAGGCAGGGCTTAACTAGATGTGACAAGGTTTCAGAATCACTTGGCTAGACGACTCTGAACTCTTGTATGACTTTAAATTCTAAAGGTATCTACCCAACTATCTACACAAAGCTCGCCCCTTCATTTAATTGTCGATAACCTTCTGTCTTACGTACATATCAACATACTCGTCAATGGGCATAGCCTCGAGCTTCTGGGGGTTCTGGCTCAGCTCAACCAGCTTCTTTACCTTATCGGCGGTGTAGTGAGGCTCGAGGTGACGCTTATACTTGGCGAGGATGTGGGGCTTGGCCTCGTCACGGCGGAGGCGGTGACCCAGAGGAGCCTCGATAACAACCTCGGGGAGGACGGTGCCGTCATTGAGCTCAACAGTCAGGGCATTGCTGATGGTGCGGAGGGCAGGGTTGTGGTAATCCTCGGTGAACTGGGGGTCCTCAACGCACTTGATCTTCTTGCGGAGGGACTCGACCAGCGGCGAGGTGGCGGCCTCAGAGCCATCAGTGTAGTCGCCAGCAGTCAGGCGGCCAAAGACAAGCATCACCGAGCACATGTACTGGATGCAGTGGTCACGGTCGGCAAAGTTGTCCATGGGCTTGAACTGCTTGTCAATAATGCGGACGCAGGCCTCGTGAGTACGGCAAGTCACGGCCTTGATGTCGGCAGCCGTCTTGCCCATAGCCTTGAGCTGGGCATGGATCTTCTCGGAAGCCTCGACGGCGGTTTGAGAGTGGAACTCGGCTACGCCAGATGTCAGCCTTGCCTGGACGGCACAAGATGGGATGACAGATTAAAGAACTTACCGGGATATGAAACCTTGAAGAGAACGTTCTCCATGACGTAGCTGCCATAGGGGCGCTGGAAGGCGAACTTCTCGCCCTTGAACAGCACATCGTAGAAACCCCAGACAGGAGCAGTAAGCACAGTCGGCACGCCCTGCTCGCCCTTCATGACCTTGAGGGCGAGGTTAACGGCACGCTGGCAAGCGTCACCGGCAGCCCACGACTTGCGAGACATGGTGTTGGGGGTGTGTCTGTAGGTGCGCAAGCTCTGGCCGTCAACCCAGGCCTGGGTGACGGCATCAGCCGTCTGCTTCTCGCTAAGGCCGAGCATCTTGCTGACGACGGCAGTGCTGGCAACCTTGACGAGGACAACGTGGTCGAGTCCGACCCTGTTGAATGAGTTCTCGAGCGCCAAGCATCCCTGGATCTCGTGGGCCTTGATCATAGCCTCGAGGATATCACGGACAGTGAAAGTCTTGCCGCCAGCAATGTTGCCGCCGGCCTTGTTGGTGCGGTTGATCCAATCGGCCACGGCCAGGATAGCACCGAGGTTGTCACTGGGATGTCCCCACTCGGCAGCCAGCCAGCAGTCGTTGTAGTCGAGCCATCTGATCATGGCACCAATGTTGAAGGCGCCATTGACAGGGTCGAGCTGGTAGGGAGTGCCGGGCACCTTGGTGCCATTGGGCACAACTGTTCCCTCGACGATGGGACCAAGCAGCTTGGTGCACTCCTTGAACCTCAGACCCTCAAGACCGCAGCCAAGAGTGTCGATAAAAACCCATCTCGCCGTATCGAACTGTTTCGGGGGGCGTGGCAAATGGTCAGCCGGTTAGTCGCGGGGTTTCATCTCATCTTGGGAGGTAAACTCGACAAGTAACCAGGGATGGTCGATGCTGATATGACAGGAGAAAAAAATGAGGAAGGGTCTACTCACAGCAAGTGGCGAGTCGATTTTCTTGTTGTGGACATAGTTGGCGATGTCTGTGATCTCGGGGTCATATCGCTTCTCGCCCGCGGGGGCAGGCGCGCCGGACTGCAAGGAAGCCATTGTGGAGAAGCTGTTGTGAGTTCGGGAAGGAGATCTCGTCAAGGCGGCGCGAGAGACGGAGGAGAGCTGGGAGCAACGGGCAGCGACTGGTGCCAAAGCGGACGTCTGGGAGACACGTTGTGGTAGGCGCAGATTTCTGGAGGCCTGACGCAGTCCACGGTTGGCGGCGGACATGATCTCGTGCGAGTGGAGGCAGTCTGAACTCCCAATTCGCCTGCAGTTCTTGGTCTGGGCAAGTCAATTGAGACGGAAACAAGCAGTCGTGAAGCTTCACAGAAGAAAGTATCGCTACAGTAAAGCTCTCGTGTACCCGCCAGAGGTGAAATAATTATTTTGTGAAGCTTCCTCCTGTCTTAAAAAAAGGTCAAAGAGGTTGACTTCGGCTTTAGGAAGAGGAAGGAACCAATTGAAGCTTGGCCGCTCTTACGGAAGGGGGGTTTTGCCGCGGCCTGCCGTCCCCGCACACATGGAAGCACTCCTCTTGGCCGGCCCTAACCCAGAAGAGGGATCCCTGCTTAAAAATAAACCTCGGTGCTGGAAGCAGCCAACCCATGTCAAACTCATGTTTGTGCGGGGGCGCAGTCAGCCTCCCACTCTCCCACTCTCCCAGATCTCCCTAGCGACTCCCCTGCCAAGGCTCATGTTGAATGTCAACAACGTC